GCCTAAGTGTTGACGACGGTTAGTGCTTTTAGATCAAAGAATTGTTATCCCCACCTCACAACGCAAAAAATATTACACCAGCCTACATTCTGCACATCAAGGCGAAGTTGGCATGGAAGGCACGCCAATGAATCTGTTTATTGGCCCGGGATGAATGCTTCAATTGTAATAATAGAGAGCAGGTTGGTACGTTCTGCTCAAAAAGTTGCCCCGAGTCAACCAAAAGAGCCAATCAATTTGACACCATCTCCTGATTGGCCATTTCAGCAAATCGTCATGGACATCTTCCATGTTGGAAACCATGGTTACTTAGCATGCGCTGACAGATTAACGGGCTGGCTGAATCTATACCACTTGGAGCCACGGAGAAGCATGCCTCAAGGATTATTTCGATTTGCCGAGACATATTTCAAACCTACGGCGCTCCTGAGAACTCAGCAGTGATGGTGGGCCACCCTTCACATCTCTTCCATTCAAGCAATTTTTGCAAGACTGGGCTGTTAAACAAAGGTTATCATCTGTTGGTTACCCACAATCCAATGGTCGAGCAGAGCTGCTGTCAAAACAGCCAAGAGAATCAAATGGCAACACAGGAGCCCAAGGATCATTGGATAATAACCGTGCAGCAAGAGCCATCCTCCAATACAGGAATACGCCCATTCAAAACATTGGGCTATCCCTGCTCAACTACTACTCCACCGCCGACTACGTGACTACATACCATCCCACCCAACACTCTATAAGCCACACGCGAATTGGATAACCGCAGCACAAAAATCGTGAGATAAGTTTGTCCCGGCGGAACGCTCGTCTCATAGAGCGATACAACAGAACAGCACACACTTTAAACCCCCTTCAAAAAGGACAAATAGTGGCACTACAAAGACCAACAACCCGTCGATGGGACACAACAGGTCAGGTCATTGAAATCCTCCCAACCACCAATACCGTATCAGAGTTGACGGATCAGGTAGAATTACCTTACGAAATCGCCGATTTCTCAGGAAACTGATACACCAACAATTCCCAGTTCCAAGACCTAGTGCAATAGCTGAGACACCTACACCAGTGCAACAAACAGTCGACGTTGGAATAACATCAAACACTGCTCAGCCGTTTACAATAACACGGACAAAAACCCTCGGGCATTGTCCAGACTACTTCCGCACAACCAGCCAGGTTTAAAGGAACTCATCCCTCCCTCAAAGGCCACTACCCACACGCGATGGGGAAGGAGATGTAGAATAACAATAATAAAAGCACGTACCGGCGTAAGAATTCAACCAGCGTCCAGCTGGCAGACAAAAAATAAAGCAGGTTGTAACTTAATACATATCCTGCAAACTGAGAAATCATGCTAGTATTTATATAGTAATACTTCCACTCAGGTACCAGCAGCCAATCAGAGCCCAAGCAATGGACTATCCCACTTTAGCATAATGAGATGCTCCATTGCACCATAAATAGCTCTGTCTCTATGTTGAATTAGTCTTCACTCAGCTTGCTCCACAACTGAGTGGTTATCTTGACTACGTGATTGTTCGACACACGTAAGAACTTTGTGTGTGATTTCAATGTACAATAATGATGATAGGATATTTGTAATGTCTAATATGTCTTATTTTCTCTTATTTTGTCTAATATAAGAGTAAAGGTGACTACAGGGATGTTATTTCATGCCTCGACAACTCTTATAATGTCAAATACCGTAAACAGGTTTTCTATGCTCTAACTAGGAAAATATTCGATTTATAAATAAAGAATCCTACTTTGCATGAATTCGCTTATCGCGGTAGAGCCTGGAACTAATTAACCGCGAAAAACGAAGGACGACTGTATATAAAGGTTGTAATGGGTATCGGCTCCGACTGAGAAATCGGAGAGCCGAGTTCGAATTCCAGCCACGTCTGTTACATTCACTTACGCGCAAATACATTGAGGAATGTATGAACCCATCTCTTCTCCCCCCAACTATGGGTTGAATAGTAGGACAGACTGGGTTCTATATGCTTAGTTGGCAACCAATCTATCGCAGAAATGGCGACCTACGATGGAAAAATCTTCTGCCTAGTCAGTCATGATCGCCCAAGCGTTTATCACGTATGGCACTTAATTGACTGATAAAAGTTTCACAATTTTTCTTTGTGCGTGGTTTAGTCAACAACAAGGTTATTTAACCGTTCGTGTCATTGTTTTCTGTGTCGTGTTAGATATTTTTTCTCGCCAGCTTAGGAAGAGCCTGAAATGCGATTTGAAGGCCGGAAACACTAGAATCAAGCAGAGGCAAAAGTTTAAATATCTGGGAAGCGTCTTCACAGAAGACGGTAAGTGAGACACTGAGATCCGTAGACATATTGGGAGGGCCAGGGACACATTCCAAAAGCCTCGCAGAGTATTGCGAGACAGCAGGATTTCTTTGGTAACAAAGAAAAGAATACTGAGCTGTTACGTGACATCTGCTCATCTTTACGGCAGAGAATGTTGGACAAGGATAAGGAAAAGACTCGAAGTGACAGAGATGTGATTTTACAGAAGGATGCTAAGGATATCATGGACCAAGCATGTGAGCAACGATGATTACAAACAAGGAGACGGCTTGTGTTTAACATCAGAAAGAGGCTGCTGAAGTTTCTGGGACACATAATGTTGTGGATTCCGAGATGAAATCCGGTCTCCAATGAATGACAAACGCAGGAATGAAATATAACAAATAGATGTATTGACGTAATAATACAATTGGTAATACGGTTAGTAGATCCAGAAATGTGGTTAGTAGCAATAATATATATATACAGTCTGGGAAATTCAGTATCGAAGTAGGACTTCCTTCTGAGTCTACGTGCTCGCAACTGTGACTCCTACAAAGCGGTTACCTCACTCTCTTACTCTCTCTATTACTCTACCACTTCCGACTTCCGGGTATTCACCGGCAGTAGTACAAATACACACTGGTCGAGTCCACTTGTATTAAAAAGGGGTGAAACCCCTAATCACATTGTTATGGTCCGGTTCCTTGTACCACGGTGATAGTCCAAGGTAGAACCAATAAAGAAAAACTCGAAGGCGGATATGGAATAACACAGATATATTACAAACAGGAATATATAGAGAGAAGAAGAAAGTATTAGTACGACCAATCAGGTTTAGTAGTAATTGTCTGAACGTGATTCTGTTTCGGACTGCCTCTGACTCGGCTGAATGACTCCTGACGGACTTCACTCCAGACTCCAGACTGAACTCCAGGCTTCAGGCTGAACTCCCTGCTTCCTCTTGAGGCGCAGTATTTATTACGTGTGGAATAGTCCATTATGTTATTATGGGTAAGGTCCCATATCACACATAATGAGGAAGGAGGGCCTAGAGAATCTGAAAACTCAATGGTCGAATACAAGGAAACAGAGACAAGGGAAAACAAGGCGTGACATACCTGACGAGCTTGAGCAGGTAGATGACAGAACGTGGTCTGTGAGAGGTATCAGAGGGAAGGAGCTTGCTGAGAGCTACAAGAAATAGAGGGAGGTGGAGAGCCATGATCACTTACGCCCTGAAAGGAAATGTCACATAAAAAAAGAAAGAATTCGTCTATGCATTGAATATTGATGTCATATCTGGTCTGGTACTTCTGCTATGTATTTAGAGATTCTCGAGAAAATCCAAATAAGTACTTACAATGTTATCGGTCCTGACCTGGCATCTCGGCTTCTGTCCCTTTCCCACAGCCATAATGTAACTTCCCTCTGCCTTTTCTATAAATATCCTCATGGTAGTTGTTCTGATGATCTTTCCTTTTTGGTAGCTAGATGTTTCGAATTTAAGCGCAGTACTAGATTAACAGTTAGGTCTCATTATATTACAGGTGAAACTGCTAGATGTAACCGTAATTTCTATGCTAATAGTTCCTTCTCTCGCACTACTTTCTTGTGGAATTATTTTCCAGCTTCTCGCTTTTTAGTCAATTTTGATCTTGAAAAAAGTAAATACAATGACAATCGTTATCATATGTCTTCTTCATTCCTGTTCTTTTATTGATCTCCCTCATTAATAATGTTTTTCTTTTTTTCATATTCATTCATACGTGTTAGTGAATTTATTGCCTTACTTGGTGTTATAGTGGAACACACCTATTCTATAGTTAATAGACTCTCCCACCTATAATAAGTAGGAGTCGCTAAGTTATATTATAAAGTACAGGCACTCGAGAAAGCAGTTGAGCAACATGCTCCGTAAGTTTTCTATGGGGTTGAGGTCAGGAGATTGGGGTGGCCATGTCATAACACTCACCTGCATCTCATCAAAGTATTCCTTCATCAATTTTGATTCGTGACAGGGAGCATTATCCTACATAAAAATGAGCTTGGTGGGGTTGATTTGCACCCTTTCAGCAGAAGGAAGCAGAAAAGACTCTAAAATTCTCTTGTACTGCTCGCTCCTGAGGGTCATTTCAATAGGTGTCAAGAAACCAGTTCCATGAAAAGAAAAGCATCCCCAGAACATTATGCTGAACGGATGCTTGACAGTACTTACTGCTAAATTCAAAGAGCTTTCAAAGCTTCTTCTTCAGATTTTAGATTGCTTATCCTTTGAATTTAGCTCAACTTTCGTTTCATCAGAGAAGAGAACATTTAGTAAAAAAAAATCTGGTGAGTCACTTTTATCGAACAGCACTGTACGTGTAGAAATACGCATAACCCTCACCCAAAAATTAATTCTACCATTTTTTTCCATATGTTTTTTTTTTTTTTTTAAATTTATTTATTGGTGATGAAAATTAAATGATAGCATTGTAATTGTGGCTGGGCACATTTTGTCTTCTTGCAACCCAGTCCGCCACTGTTTATAGGCTCTACAGAATTAAGCGCGAATTTCACCGGATGTTACTTTTTTACGCACACGATGGACTTTTCAACCAATCATGTTTAGTTTTATAAATTTTAATGTTTTTAAGATGGACTGGTTTCGTTTTTACTGTAGGGATACAAAAGGTGTCTTCGAAATCTGGTTTACGGTCATCTCAACTTGAAACACCGATTTTTATCCGATCATCGAAGTTAAGCAACGTTGAACCTTGTTAGTACCTAGATGCGTGGCCACTCAGGAATACCAGGTGCTGAAACCTTGGACGTGCGGGTAGTGTAATAGATAACCGTTCCTTGTACTGCCCCATAAAAGACTTGACCGTCCCTTTTACAAGAGTCAGAACAGACCAGAAATAGGTTTTATATCACCTTGAGAGACCGGTTCCGGTGCGATCACAGAAGTTAAGCAAAGTCGATCCGGGTCAGTACCTAGATGAGTAACCGGTTGGGAGTACCAGATGCTGTAAGCTAGGATGTGCAGGTGGTGTAATGGATAATGGCAAGTTACAATTTCGGTTGGCTTTGTTATATTCATTTACGAGCAAATACTCTTGAGAAATGTATGAAACCACCTTTTAGCCTTAATTAGCAAAACTTGTACCAGAAAATTATTATCATCTCCAAAAATTCTTGCAATCTCAAGATATGTTTCGGCTTTAAATAACATTAAAAAGGTTGATAAACCGAAAAAAATCAATCTTCGAAATCTGTAGAAACAATATTTCGTAAATCTATCTATCTATCTATCTATCTATATATATATATATATATATATATATAAATATATATATATATATATATATTTATATATATATGTGTATATAAAGAAATATAGTCTTAAGATGTGCTATATTTATGGGATAAAATGCTCAATATCAGAGATAGAGCGTGTGTAAATATAAAAGGGAATATAGAAGTCAACACTTAGAGTATGACAGTCTGTTTCATGCTAGATGCAATCGTCAGGTCACGAGTGCTGTTATTTTCCCTGACTATTTATATATTTATTTATATATATATATATATATATATATATATATATATATATTATAAATTAATTGATTTAAATATGGTTTTTTTCACTGTTCTAACCATGTTTCAGAACACCGGATTATATATCTTACTGTTCTTTTTTTTTTTATACACACACACACACATATATATATATATATATATATGTGTGTGTGTGTGTGTGTGTGTGTGTGTGTGTGTATGTATTACTACATTTAGACAAGGTAGTAAAGGAGAAAGGACTCGCCATTTTACTGTAGGAAGGCAGAATCGTTGGTTGTTAACAAAAGTGACTTATGAAGGTGTAATGTGCACATTGTTTACGGCAAAATCTAGCAGATGCGGGAATTTAACACTTTGTGGCCAGAGGTCAATTCCGACATCTGGTTTCAGACATCTACGTTATAATAAACAAAACAGGTAATAAATTTTTATGAGTTGATTTAGCTGAAATCACAACATTGTTTTCATACTTGTTTTCAAGTATAACTGCGTATAAACTTTTTGGTTGGTGCCCGCAGATGAACATATATCAGGAAAAATGCCAAGCCAAAGATAACTCATAATGGGTACGAGATAAACTCGTAATTGGCACGAGATAACTCGTAATTGGTACGAGATTACTGTTAATGGGTACGAGATAACTCGTAATCGGCACGAGATAACTGCTAATGGGTACGAGATAACACGTCATCGGCACGAGATAACTCGTAATCGGCGTCATATTAAAAACTACCAACCACGAAATATCTTGTGGTTGGCAGTCAATATGTTAGCCTTTCAAACATATGAGAATTTATTTTTATTTATTTATTAATATTTTTTATTTTAAATTTTAAAAGGTATGAATTTATTAACAGATCCCGACATCTTTCAGAGAGATGAAATTTATTTTTTTATTATTGCATTATTCCAAAATTTTAACACATCAGCAGATAGCTATTAATGTCAATAACTGAGCAAAAATAGTTATGAATTAAAAAAATTAGTAATTAATGTATAATATTATCCATAACTACACGTACAAGAATGTCGTTTTTGATAAAAGTTAAAAAATAACCATAAATGTGTAAAAAATGCGTATATTGTCGAAAATTCCTTTTTCCTCAATATAGCTATTTGCGCTAAGCTATAATGCTTATTACCTAAACAATAATAATTTGCCATAAATAAAACGGCGTTTTATTAAACAATATTAAATATTAAACAATATTAAATTCATAATAGATTAAATTTATTAAATTAAACAATGCTAAATTGTTTATTAATATTAACAATATTAAACAATAATAAATTGCCATAAATAAAACGGTGTTTTATTAAACAATATTAAATACTATCAGTAGAGCCCGGCGTTGCCCGAGGATGTAACAGTATAAGAGATAGATCAAGTATCGACCATCATAAAGACTGGAAAATAAAATTGACAAAAGATTATTGTTTAAGGTTGATGGACATGCATGTTTTAATTAGTTGTTTTTTTTGTATGAATTGGTAAAACCCAAACTCAAACAAAAACATTGTTTTCAATCGTTATGAGTCTCCCGATTGAATAGAATTTTATTATAAACAATTGTCTTGAAATAAAATTTTTAAAGCATTCTGAATGTAAAAATAAAGAAAAAGTGTGCAAGACAATAAGAAAACACCACCTGCCAAAAAAAATAGTGAAGTTTTGTTGAAATTGGTTGAAAAATTTAGGAAATCCGATCCCATATATAAACACACACACACACACACACACACACACACAAACACACACACACACACACACCTGGGTTTCTAATAAGTATGATTAAATTTTTTAAACATTAAAATACATTTAATCACATCTTGATAGCTGTCGCAATTTGTAAGATTTCTTATAGTTTATTGATAATAATTAATTTTTTTTTTTAAATTCATATAATAAAAATGAATTTCAGTGTGATTTGAATAATAACAAACTACAATATGTCTCATTCCACTTAGCCTTGTGCCATACTTAGTTACGTTTAAAAATATCGGGAAAATGGTTTTTTGCAGATGCATTTTTCATTTTCGAAGATTAATGGCAACAAACAGTACCTGGGGAAATTTCGTGACTGGTTTGAAAATTATAAGATTTTTTTATTTTCCAAGTTTATAGAGAATCGTGATATCCCAGGTAGTAGTGAGGTGTTTAGTATTTGGATAAAATATTTTTGATGACTATATCTTTGTTATACTCTTCCTGCCACGTCTATATTCATTTTCCAATCTCCAAAGGTCGTTTTGGTAATTTTCAATCACTGCGTGCTTATAAATTTCCCAAGGCTGAAATGAGTTAATTAACCGAGGAAAATAATTACTTTTTAAATCCTCAGTTTTGCAAGACTCGCGCCACTAGTGCCAGTCTCAAGTACTCTCGCAGATGAAGAGCCCCATTTCCTTTTGTTTCTTTCTTCTAAACCCTATTAAAGTACCAAATCTTGATTTATTAGAATATTTGTTTTAAAATTTTACATTTTTCATCTTTCTTTTCTTTTTCTGTCTTTCTTTTTTTTTCTATGCGTTTCTATCTTTTCTTTCTTTCATTAATCCCTTTCTTCTTTTCTTTTCATATTCTCATTCATTTTCTTTACTTTCTTTTCCTTGCTCTTTCCTTCGATTTTTCTTTCTTTTTTTTTGGCTTTCCTTTTCTTTTCTTTCATTTTCTTGAATTCTTTCCATTTATTTTTTTTTTTTTCCTTTTCTTTTCTTTAGTTTAGAACAAGATAACATTTATAAATATATATATCGTTCGTCTTCCTGATAGACATTCTACTCAAACGTAAACACAGGATGTTTCAGAGATCGTAGAATAAAAAGTAGAATTATATATATATATATATATATATATATATATATATATATATATATATATATATATATATATATATATAATTATTTATTTAAAAAATATGATTCCAACGCTACATAAGAGTTCTCATGTTTCAAAACAAAGAGCCGAAAGTTTCAATATAATTATTTGAATTAAATTGAATTAAAGTACTAAGCTCTGTTCCATCTTCAAGCGAAATTTTTGAGGGAATATATATATATATATATATATATATATATATATATAGATAGATAGATAGATAGATAGATAGATAGATAGATAGATGTGTGTGTGTATTTAGGGCATTTTTCATTGATGCATGCTTCATTAAATAATATGAACAAGTGCTGTCTATTTTATGTAAATTCTTTTCATATCGTCTGATAAGCTTAATAACATTATCATTAAACGAAGAAAGAAAATCACAATATTGATACATATATTTTAATCCTATCTAAGCTTTCGGCTTGCATAAGCCATTATCAAAGATGTCAATTACATTACAATATATTAAGCAATACACGGACAAAACAGTGATGATAGCGTGTTTCTGTATATGTATCTATATTGTGATTTTCTTTGTTCGTTTAATGATATTATTAAGCTTATCAGACGTTATGAAAAGAATTTTACATAAAATAAATAGACAACACTTGTCTATATTATTTTAATGAAACATGCATAATTATATA